AATCAGTACTGCGCGTGCGTGACTGACAAAATTATCGGCAACAGTGCGGACATGCTAGCATGCGTAAGTACATGTGCTTCAGTTGTTCAGTTGACGTGAGTCCGTGCCGTCCGTGGTCCGTGTCAGTCCTCAGTCAGTGAGCCTGGTCGGTCTGACAAAATTTGTCTGTTGGGTCATACAGGGTTTGTCCGGAAAGTAATGCGTCGCATTTTTTTGTGACGCGACTATACATCGCAGAGCGATGGGACCGGTTGGGGAGGAAGGGGGGTACCCTTAGCTTTCCAACGGTAGGTCGCTCAATTGTTTCCATGCGCTTGGAGGGTTAGGACGGCTTATTCTGTGAACCTCTGCTTAGTGGTCGCGTCGAACTTGTGATGGAGAGAACGATAGAGCAACGCTATGCGATAAAGTTTTGCGTGAAGCTGGACAAGACGCCGCTGGAAACTTTTGAAATGCTCAAGAAAGTTTTCGGGGACGATTGCCTTTCCAAATCGCAGTCAAACAGATGGCACAAGATGTTTAGAGAAGGTCGGAAGGAGGTCGCCGACACAGATTAATAGACAGATCGCCAAAGGCCTGCCTAAAGAAGAGACCGCCATCTTCATGCGATAGACTTTGCCCCTTACCGACACACTTTGCCCCTGGTTCGAGTCCGTGCTAAATTTCGTAGACTTGAACCAAAAGACTTTGCCCCTGGTTCGAGTCCGTGCTAAATTTCGTAGACTCGACCAAAAGACTTTGCCCCTGGTGCAAGTCCAGGCTAAATTCGTTTGACATTACCAACAGACTTTGCCCCTGGTGCGAATCCAGGCTAATTGATCATGAGACCAATTTGAGAGATTTGGCCCCCGTTGTGTGTGTGTGTGTGTGTGAGAGAGAGAGAGAGAGAGAGAGAGAGAAAGAGAAAGAGAATATTTTACATATGCATATATATATATATATATATAAAATTTATTAAATATAAAAAATATATTTTTTACACATAAAATGTTTTTTTATTGAAATAATCACGATTTTAAATGTGATATAACACAGTGTTCAAAAATTTTTAATTAAATTTTATTAAAGAAAATTACTTGAAATTTTTTACATTAAGAATTTAAAGGCTCCTTATTCTCTTGTAGAAATTTATCACTATGCCAATTAATCACTTATTTCGAGTATTTAAAATACTATAATATACAGTAATTTAAGTATTCGAAATAAAAGTGATTAATTACTCGAAATAAATTGATAAATTGGCGTTACTAGTAATAAATTTCTATAAGGGTTGAAATAAAGTATAAGAGATAAATAGGCTATATGTGAGCCGTATGAGAAATGTGAGATGTAAGACGCATATTGAAATTTAATTTTTCGATATAACTTTCAAAAATGTACACGAGGTACAAAAAATTAGCTTGGACATTTGTAAGACTTAAAATTGGGATTAATTCTCAATTCTATTAATTAAATTTCGATATAACACACCTTACATCCGCGCACGGCTCACATATAGCCTATTTATCTCTTATACTTTATTTCAACCCTTATAGAAATTTATTACTAGTAAATTTATTACTAGCCCATTTATTAGTGCAATTTTTAAGTTCCTTATTTTTCAAAGTTGACCTTTTTACGTTATCAAATATTTTTGGTACGTTTTCAAGAATTTTATATTTTTACTTACCGCAGTTTCTTATCCAAATGTAAAATCTTTTATCGCAGTCTATAAAAAATTGAAACAATTTACAATTTTATGATATAATATTATTATTATTACAATTTCTATATATATGCACATCTATGTCAAATATCGTGATTTATTTCACATTATTATTATCTATTTTAATAAAAAAAAAAAAAAAACACTTGCAACAATCAAAAATAAACCGCCTGCCGCGAACGGAAAATGCCAAGAAAGCACGCAATTTCCGCGAATCTCGTAATTTTTTTGAAGAATCAACAATTTCAACGAAATTGTAAATTCTTCAAATCACTGCACAAGTATAATTCACAATAATAATTTTCAGTAACTACGATAAAAAATCGTATACTGAAAACCGCAAACGAAAGTGCAATGGGAGTAAGAGTAAAGTCTGTGATAAAATTAATTGTCAATAGAAAATTAATAATTTTCAAATAGAAAAATTTTGAAATTACCGAGGATTTACAAATAATAAAGTAAAAATATTAAATAATTTATGTTTTCGAATTTTGCTCGCGGAGAGGATCTTTAAAACAAGATTTTTAGAAGAGAGGACCTTTAAAATATAAACAGGCTAAAACGTTGGAAAAATTAAAGCGCGCGTTTAAACAGATAAACGCAATGAAATAGATACGCAATTGTTTTTACTTATCGCTGTAAGCTCACAAGCTTCTGACGTGCTATACACTTTTATATAATATATACAGGGTGTCCGGTAACTAACGGACCAATGATTAAGGGCGGATTCTCTGGCCAATTTGGAGACGATTTTTCCTTAGCAAAAATGTAGAGAAGTCAATAATTTTCGAGTTATAAGCGATTGAAAAAAATAGGTTTTTTGAAAACTAAACGTTTTGGGGTTAAAAGTCTAACATAATTACATTCTTCAGTTAATTTCAGGTAGAGTTTACTATAATAAAATTTTAATTTAAGGCTTAGTTATAAAGATATATAATGACAAAGATTGGAAAGTTGTAAAAAATGATGACCTTTTTCGACATTTTCGCTGAGGAAAAATCGTTCCCAAATTGACCAAAGAATCCATTTGTAATCATTGGTCTGTTAGTTACCGGACACCCTGTATATTGGACACGAGTTTCGTTTGTTTCAGATTCTCGAGAGTTGAAGTAGGAACATACGAGTATCATATATCGTTTGTGACTTGCCGAATGAAAGCAAGACAGAGAGCGAACGAGATGATGAGCTTAATAGCTCATAATGTTATAAATAAATAAATAAAAAATTATAACTTGACCTACTAGTTATTGAATCTTTTTTTAATAAAATGTTTCATTATTATTATCATCTAAGTCTAAGTCGTTTAATTACTTTTTAGTTTTTTAATAATTAATTTAATTTATTCTAGTCATTTTTATGTGAGAAAAATAATATCACGTATACGTTTTATAATGAATTAATATATTTCGGGAACCGAATTATATATTCTTAATAATATTAAAGTGTTTAAAAATTATATTTGACTTTTAATTTTAATTATTTTTAGCAAAGAGTTCCGAAATCTCTTACACACATAATGGGGATTTTTTTCATCCATATAATTCGCAATTTAGTATATATGTTAATTATTAATTTTAATAAAATAAAAATTAAAATTAAAGGTCAAATATAATTTTTAAACACAAATATATTAAATTAATTATAAAACGTATACCCATGATAGTATTTTTCTCGTACAAAAATAATTAGAGTAAATTAAATTAATCATAAAAGATTAAAAATTAATTAAAGAATTTAAACTTATATTTTATATAATAATAATAAAACATTTTATTACGTCAAACCGTCGTGAAATAATTAAATAAAATTTGCTAGTTACGTCGAAGTCAAGTTTTCTAAGCTTATAAAACATTTTATTAAAAAACAGATTCAATAAATATAAGTACATGTTATATATATACTTATATTTATTGAATCTGTTTTTTTTATAAAATGTTTTATTATTATCATATAAAATATAAATTATTTAATTATTTTTTTATTTTTTTATGAGTAATTTAATTTATTCTAGTTATTTTTGTACGAGAAAAATACTATCACGGGTATACGTTTTATAACGAATTAAATATATTTATGTTCAAAAATTATATTTGACCTTTAATTTTAATTTTGTATTTTATTAAAATTAATAATTAACATATATACTTAATTGCGAATTATATGGATGAACAAAATCCCTATTATGTGTGTAAGAGATTTCGGAACTCTTTGCTAAAATAATTAAAATTAAAAGTCAAATATAATTTTTGAACACTTTTATATTATTAAAAATATATAATTCGACTCTCGAAATATATTAATTCATTATAAAACGTATACGTATTAGTATTTTTCACATATTAAAATGATTAGAATAAATTAAATTAATTATTAAGAAACTAAAAATAATTAATCGACTTAGACTTAGATGATAATAATAATGAAACATTTATTAAAAAATAATTATAATAGGTCAGGTTAATATTTTATTTATTTATTTATTTATTTATTTATTTATTTATTTATTTATTTATTTATTTATTTATAACATCATAAAATTCTGTCCTTTCCGAAATACGCGAACGCTACGAAAAGATAAATCTCGTACATGCCGCCGGACGAGTTCATGAGCATGAGACGCTCTTATCTTGGGAACGTATTAATAGTTACTGCATTGACCACTACTACGATATGGCGCTGAAATCAGTGAGAAATACTGGTCTCTCCTTCATCCAGACCTTTGGCGATCTGTCTATTAATCTGTGTCGCCGACGAGGCCCGCGCAGGACGCCCGTCAACATCGCGAACGGACGACAATGTGACTCGTGTGCGCCAATTATTGAATTCAGACCGTCGAATGAATGTTCGCTTAATGTCGGAATTATTGAACTTGCCGAAAACGATTGTTCACGAGATTGTATCGGAAGACTTGGCCATGCGGAAGATTTGCGCAAAACTTGTGCCCATACGGCTCACACCGCCTTTGTTATTACGGCCTACCTGACCCGGATCGGTGTGGCAACGGTGCCGCAGCCGCCCTACAGTCCCGACTTGGCCCCGGCGGACTTTTTTTTTATTTCCTCGGCTGAAAAGGGAGCTCAAAGGACAACAGCTCGAGTCGGTTGACAAAGTACAAGCTACTTCGACGGCCTCCCTGAACAGCATCCCAGTCAAGGAGTTCCAGAAATCTTATGACGCATGGAAATCGCGTTGGCAAAAATGTATTGACGCAGAAGGGTCATACTTCGAACAATTTTAAGTTGTTTTACCTATGCGATCAATAAATTCCTTTTTAAAAAAATGCGACGCATTACTTTCCGGACAAACCCTGTATTGCGATGGTAAGTACGCAACACATATCTAAAAATATTTTTTAATTTTTATGATATAAAAGTTTCACGTCGTGTGGTATAATCTAATGTTAGAATAGTAATTATAGAATTAATATTATAATTTTGAGTAATATTTATAAAAGAAAGCGACAATGAGATGAAAATAAGAGCGAATGAGATAAAACAATATTTTACGAAATCTATTACGTTTCATTCTTTTCGGTTAATAGCCTTCAGATTTGCTTGCTCAAGGAATTACTCGTGATCTTTTATCGAGATACAAGATAATAACATTTTGTAACACTAATTTTTGTAAAACTCTACTAATAGTAATGTTTTAATAAATATATTTAATTTTATATAATAATTGCTCGTCAAAGGCCTTATTTAAGATACTGTTAAGATAATAACGTTAAAATTAGAACTCTTTCGAACGAGCGAGCAAGCTTCGATGAAATTTCTATATTCGGAATCTTTTTTCAGCGAGTAGTGTCTCGATATCGAAACATATCTCCTTCTCTCTCACTTTCTATTTATCTTTTTTTTCATTTTCCGACAACCGGCATCCCTGTTTTAAGTATTTATATACATATACAGTATATTTTTTACAATTTTTTTTCAGGAAACTGGAGAGAGAATATTGGAATTCTCTCCGTTGACAAAACAAGTAACACCGATGATGACATCGTTGATGCCGATATCAACGATGTCGGCAGAAACTGTGTCAACAGTGGCATCGGTGACATCGGCATCAACGATGTCATCAACTATGATGTCGGCGGAGGCATCGACATCGACACCGGCATTGGCACCGGCATCGGCATTGACACCGGCGCTAGCACTGGCACCAGTATCAGCACCAGCACTGACATCGGCACCGGCGTCGACATTAATGGAAATACCGGCACCAGAGAAGGCACCGGTACCAGCGTCAACGGAGGCGTCAACGCTAATAGCATTAAGTGTAAGTTAGACATTTTATATAAATACAATTTATATTAAATATAAAATTAATCATATATACAGAATTGTATTTTACATACAATATTATTAGAAAAAATGCAAAATAATCCTTTTAAAACATTTTTTATTAAGTCATTTTATTATCTTTCCGGTTTTAATATAATTTATTATTAATTAATATAATTGTTATATTTATTTTTGTTATATATATATATAATGTAAAAAAATTAATCTTTTTAAAATAATTATTACAATTATTACAATTTATTACGTTTTTTATTATTATTTACTATATTATATTTACTTTTTTGTTTCAGAGAGAAGATTTAAAAGGTCTTATTGATGCAGCTGTACAATCTGCCATGAGAGGAGGACGAGGAGGAAAAGGACGCGGGATACGAGGAAGCAGAGGAAGAAGAAGGGGAAGAGGAAGAGGACGAGGACATGGATATCAAAGAACAGGGATTAATATTAATAATTATTATACTGCTCCTAAAACATAAAACTATATATATATATATATACTATACATATAACTCGCTATTTTATCACATATATGTAACTTTATATAAAACACTAATAAAATGTAATAAAATTTACCTTGGTCCATTCTTTAGCTGATTTACACGGCCCACATCCAGTTGTATTTAATATTTCCGTTAATTTTTCCCACAGTTCATCCTAGTTAGAAGTTATTAATCGCAATATCCATTAAATATTATTTTAAGCCATATTACTAAACAAATAAAGTATAAAAAATGTTTAAAACTCATTTAAAACTTATTTTCAAAGATATTTTAAAAATGTGAAAATATTTGGTTCCCCTTTTATTCATTAAAAGAACGTTTATTTTAACGTCAATGTAATATAAATATTTATTTAACGTTTATTAAATATTTATTTTTTGTTAATATTTTTTGTTAATATTTTATTAATAAAATATTAAATATTTAATAAACCTTAAATAAATATTTATATTACAGTAATGTTAAAATAAATGTTTTTTTTTTTAATTTTAAAAGAAGGGACTTAATCAATTTTTTCACATTTTTAAAATATCTGAAAATGAGTTTTAAACATTTTGTTTGCTATATTTGTTTGTTACTTAGGAATATTAGTAAAAATATAATAAGGATAAGATATAATAATGAAAGTAAGCAAAAAATGGTAAGTATTATAAATAGTAATAATTATTTTCAACTATCCGTTAGTCATAATATTTTCCCTTTATTTTCTTTTGCTTAAAATAATTTTTCTTACACAAAACATAAAATACATAAAAAATAGTAAAAAGACATTAATAAATAGGATGGTATTAGAATGGATAAAAAATAGCATTTCGATTTTTTTATCCATTCTAATACCATCCTATTTATCAATGTCTTTTTACTATTTTTTATGTATTTTATGTTTTGTGTAAGAAAAATTATTTTAAGCAAAAGAAAATAAAGGGAAAATATTATGACTAACGGATGGTTGAAAATAATTATTACTATTTATAATACTTACCATTTTTTGCTTATTTTCATTATTATATCTTATCCTTATTATATTTTTACTAATATTCCTAAGTAACAAACAAATATAGCAAACAAAATGTTTAAAACTCATTTTCAGATATTTTAAAAATGTGAAAAAATTGATTAAGTCCCTTCTTTTAAAATTAAAAAAAAAAAACATTTATTTTAACATTACTGTAATATAAATATTTATTTAAGGTTTATTAAATATTTAATATTTTATTAATAAAATATTAACAAAAAATATTAACAAAAAATAAATATTTAATAAACGTTAAATAAATATTTATATTACATTGACGTTAAAATAAACGTTCTTTTAATGAATAAAAGGGGAACCAAATATTTTCACATTTTTAAAATATCTTTGAAAATAAGTTTTAAATGAGTTTTAAACATTTTTTATACTTTATTTGTTTACTACAATACTTGGGTTATATTACTTTTTTTCTAATACTTATTTTGATACTTATATTGATATATAAATAGTATGTAAAATGTATATATATTTAAAATTAATAATAATAAATGTATAAAATGTATAAAAAGAAAAATCTAAAAATATTTCTTTGTCTAAATATTTCATTAATTTTATGTAGACAAACATATAAGAAGATATATGCATATCTATACTCATATACATATATGCCGAATAAATTTCGCGTAGTAAATAATATTTTTTACATATACATATAAAATAATACATGTGCATATAAAATTACATGTACATATAAAATAATTTAATATTAAAATATTAATTATTTCTTTTTTTATTGTAAAAAATTAAATTTTAATTCTACAAATTTTTAATACAATTACATGTGTAACATATCGAGTAAATAAATTAGTTTTTAAATTTTCTTTTCTTTTGTTTTTATTACAGGAAATACGAAAATAGAAAAATGGTCTGCCAGTTCTATTCGACGTGCGGGATTGTGTGAAGATCATTTTCTTGAAGACTCCTTCACAAATAAAACGACAAGAGGATTAAAACGCAGTGCAGTACCGATTCCTTTCGAGTCTCTAAATAACGTAAGTAATGAACACAATGTATTGATTTCTTTAGATTCTCATAATATTAATAAAAATAATGAAAATAAGAAAAGAAAAAGTATGCAAATGGAAGAAGTGCTTTATTTACAAGAAGAACAAAGTATAAAGAATATTGTATCAACATCTACTACATCATCTACGTCTACTGTTGTTAATGAAAATGTAATAGACGAGCATCCAGAATCACAAACTTTTGAACAACGAACAAATTCATTGCGATGCTATCAGCCACGACATTTAGATTTTAATTCTTCCATAGAAAATGAAGATATAATGGAATGGATGCACATTGAGCCATCTATGCATCAAAGAGTTCTTACGCCTCCTCCGTCTAATAATAATAATAATAATAATAATAACAATACAAATATAATAGAATCGGCGCATCTTGAGCCATCAATACATGAAAGAGTTCTGTTTCCTCCGTGCAATAATACAAGAAGTACTAAAAATAGTACAGAAACAAATACAAAAAATGAAATAATACATAAGTTATGTGCAAAAGTTAAATATCTAAAATCTGAAAATATACGATTGCGAAGACAAGTAAGATATCTGAAATATCGTTTACGTCATATTCCACAAAAACGTAAAACGTCAAAAAAAGATAAACAAAAGAAAATAATATTAAACAAATTGGTAGACGAACAAGATCTAAATCCTGTTGCGAAGGCGATGATAAATTTGCAACTGCATAAACGCAATGCAGCATATACAGAAGAAGAGAAAAATCTGTCAAGACAACTATATTATTATTCACCTGCTGCTTTCTGCCGCTTAAGAAAAGCAGGTTGCAATTTTCCAGGGCAACGAACTATTAGAAGATGGCTGGAAGAATATGACGTACGGCCAGGATTTTGTGATTTTATTTTTCAAAAATTAAAGGAAAAGATTTCTTATTTACCAGTAGAGGAAAGAGTGTGTGCCTTAAAATGGGACGAAATGGCCATAAAACCTTATGAAGAATATTCGCAAAAATTAGATGAAATAGAAGGTCTTGTCGATCTTGGTCCTCTAGGAAGAAAATCAGAAAGATCTAAATGCGTATTTGTCTTTTGCCTAGACAGTTTAAATGTACAACGGGTGCTGATGTGCAACTTTTAACATGTGATCAAGGCACATGTAATCAAAGTGCGTATAGTGAACTCGGTATTGATGCACAGATGCCATGTTTTATACATAATGGAAAAAAATATAACGCATCTTTTGATTTTCCTCATCTGGTAAAAAGATTGGCAAGTTTTCTTAGAACGCACAAAAACATTTATTGTGATGGAAAAATAATCGCATCGTATTCAGATTTTGAAATGACTTGGTATATTGACAATGCCACAAAAGGAGGCTCAAATTTATTATCCCATATAACAGAAGCACATATTCGTCCAAATAATTTCGAAGCGATGAATGTTAAAAGAGTTTTTCAATTATTTAGTCACACATTTGCAGCTGCAATAAGAACAGCTGGTAATGCAAAAGAATTAAATACGAGTACGTGGGAAGCTACAGCTGACTTTGCAACACGCTTAAATAATATTATTGATGCTTGTAACAGTTACAGCCTTAATATTACATTTGGCGGAAAACGACCATTATCCTTCAGAAATTCAGATATTGAAAATCTGTTAACAGATTCTATCGAATGGTGCTCAAGATGGTCAAAATCGGCGGAAAATCTAGTTCAAATTCCTTGTTTCAAAGGTTTTCCATTAACTATACGAGCTATTCTTGCAACTTATAAAAAACTTGCAAATCAATACGAAGGATTTGAACTTGCGACAGGATTGTGTAATCAGGATTCTGTCGAACATTTGTTTTCTAAATTGAGACAACGCGGAGGTTTTAATCCAAATCCAACCGCAAGAATGATCCGATTATCTATCAGACATATACTTTCCACAGGATATATTCAGACTAGCGACAAGGGCAATGTTCAATGTACAGAAGGTGTAACTCTTATTAATCGACCAAGTCGACTTGTTAAGACAATAGAAAATGTCATGAATACGAGCAATGCGACTGTAGAATATATTGAACATGAAAGTGAATTGCTTGACGAAGATGTTAGAATTCTTCTCGAAGAATATAATATCGAACAAATTGATAATATAAATCCGATTGATAGCAATTACGATGAAAATGCCATTGCATTTTTTGCCGGATTTGTGGCACGGCGAAGTATTGCTAAAAGTAACTGTGACGATTGCCGCAACGCAATGATGAAAACACCAATGGATGAACCTGCAGCAAATGAAAAATATATAGAATTTCGTGAATATCCAAATACAGATGAAGATGCTCCAACAGTAACAAAATTAGTACGACCAACAACTCTATACACAAATATTACTAAAACGCAATTAATGGCGTTTAATTGTACATGGCAAAGCCATTGGTCATCCACACAGATGCTTGAAAAAATAGTGACGGAATGTGTACATGCAACGAATCAAATTCATCCAGATTGGTTAGATAAAAATAACGAATGTTATAATCATCGGATGCAAGCATTAAAATACATGATTACTGTAAAAATATATTCCCGTACGAGATATAACAATCGTACTGCCAAAGTAGCTAGTGCATCATACAAAAAAGTTAAGAGATTTATAAATAAATAAAAGTATATATAAGAAAAGTAAAAATAAAGGATACTAAATGTAAGATCATCTTGAGCACTATTATATTAATTACAAATAAGAAAAAAATGATATGAAGAAAGAAAAACCACAAAGGTCTAAAATAATATCATTATTAATAATTCATTAAAAAAAAAAGATAAGAAAATATAAAATTTATTTAATAAATTAAATAATTTTTTATAAATATAATATTTACATTTATATTTTTATTATAGATTTTAAATATTAATTAATATATTTTATATTAATTTAATATTATATTAATATATAAAATAATAAATATTAATTTTAATATTTAAAAAATTAATGCAAGGAATAGAAAAAACATAATAACGTGGAACGTAGTAAAAATTATCTAGCTGAGCTATTTTTTAATATGAGTATTTTCTATAAAATAATATAATTTCTTTATTTTGTAATTTTGAAAAAAATTTCTTCATTTTTTTATTGTTATATATATCTTGCATAATTTTGTCATTGAAAAGAAATATTTATACTGTGTATCATGAAATTACATTCATTAAAATATGTTTGCAAATCATGTTACATTTAGTAATGAGTATTATTTTCCTGTAATGAGAAAAATAAGCATGAATTTTTCAATTTCTTAGAAGATTGCAATCACAGTTGAAACAAATTACATAAATCGTTAACTAGCAGGTTTAATCACGGACTAAATAAAATATTTTTATGCAATCATGCTAAGAAATTGTAAAATCATGTATTTTCTGATTACTAATGACATATAACACGAGATATATATAATAATAAAATTTTAAGAAAGTACAGTAACACGGTACAATAAATGAAATCTATCGTATATGTATTTGTTGGCATACGGTATTCTAATATAATCATAGAAGATACATATGAATACCGTTAATAATATAGTATACAGTAAGTGATTTTGACAAATCACTTACAATAATAAGACGCCTTAACAGAAATAGATAACAAAAGACATCAAAATATATAACTGATTCTTTTAGTTATAGAAAATCTATATTATATGTAGATTTCCCGTGATAAGACCTGTTAGTTTGAGCGATTTATGTAATTATTTCAACTGTGATTGCAATCTTTACGTCATGCATATCTAAATGCCAACTAAAATACATATACACATATGTACCTAAATCTTTAATTACAATATATTATTAATTTTTTAAACATACGTTCCACGTTAACATAGTAAATATGATTAAATACAAATTATTTAACAATATCTTTTTTCACAAAATATATGTTTTATAATAATGAATACTTTTAATTACAGCTTTTTTTTAGAGCGGAGGGTTTTTTAGTGGGTGAGAGTCCCACATACCCCCGTCGGACGGCCGATGGGAAATGCATAATGCATTTTTCCCTTCCTACAAAAAAAAAAAACTGATATATACAGGATTCCGAAATTCGCGAGTCAAAATAGTATAGCAAAAAAGTTCTTTAAAATAAATTAAAAAGTTTAAGCTATTTCTTATTCTAAACAATAAAATTTTTGAGGTAAAAAATTTTAAATTGGCCAATTATAGATTACGATTTAATGGACACTTGAAGTGCGTAAAGTGCATGGTCACTACCCAAACAGCACACATATCCTAAAAACGTTCAGAGAACATTCTGAGGATGTTCGAATGTCCTCTGGATATCCTCTGAATATCTTTCGGATATGTTGTGCTATTAGGATATAACATAATCGACTCACGGATAGGCGTCCGTTTAATCGTATTCTGTAATTGGCCAATTTTAAATCTTTTTACCTCAAAAAATACTGTTTGGAATGAAAAATGGTAAAAATTTTTTTAATTTACTTTTTCGAGAAACTTTCTTTTTATGGTACTTTAATTCGCAAAATTCGGGACACCTTATATATATATATATACATTTTTGTACACGTGGTATATGTATTAAATAAAAAATATTAATATACATATATTATATTATATAACAATTTTTGTATAATTTAAAGTTTAAAGTATATTTAATTATTCATTTAATTTTATTTAAATATATATTATTAGAAATTTTTTTATGATAAATTATTTTCCATAAGTTTTATTTTTTTTATTATTTTTATTTTATAATATTATGTTAATTTTTTGTTATTTTTATACAAATATATTTATTTTATTTTCAATATTTATTTTCTTATTTTTTATATTTTTTGTGCAATCAATTTAATTTTCAGGGATGTTATTTTTGTAAATGAATATAAAATTATTGAAAATATTTTATAAATACAATTGATTTATTATTTCTTATTTTTTATTCATTTACAATTCTGATTAATTAAAAAAAAAAAAAGAAAACATATGGTCTTGAACTCTGATCTTCGTCGTATTCTGGTCTATCAATTGTGGATGTAGCACGGACATGAACTAAATTTGGCTCTTTTACCGACATCGAAAGTGGATGTGGCCATGTAGTTCCAGACGCTCGTAAAATGGATGTACGTGACGCTAGTGAGCAGCCTAGAAAAAGCGTTTGACGAAAAACGGCGGCGTGGCCTCTCTCATTCTTCTCTCTGGTGATACCTTTATCTTTATAACCTCTGCAGTTTGAACGGTGTGAATAAGAATGAATGTTACAGAGAAACAAAAAGAAATTATGTTAAATTTTATGAATAAACATTCGGATTTCGGTCGGGGGCAGATACATTTTTGAACATGCTTGAATAAAATTGACGCGGCGTGTTATGAGAATTGATCGATATAAAACAATACATTAATAAAAAAGTAGTGTTTAAAAATCTTTTATTATAAAGTTAAGAAATGTACTGTGATAATCTTAATTATTAATTTATTATAAGATTATGAAATGTACTAATTTTATGTGATACAATTTATGTGATAAATATATATATAAATATATATATATATCCTATTCAAATACCATCACACAATATTTCTTAATTCGTACTTCTTCTGCTTGCATTATATTTATATCATTAAATGGTATCGGCACTTCTCCTTCTTCCTCCAAATATACTTCATTTAATGGAATTCTCCATTTATAAGCAATGTTATGTAAAACACACCATGCATTTACAATTAGAGCTGTAAAGAATAGATTTAAAAATACCTTTTCTTATCTCAATTATGCACTATAATTATTTACATACCAGCAAATTCTGGTGTATAATGTAATGTCCTCTCTTTTAATACGTATTTTAATCGCGCTCTACTCTACATAACATATAATGCAGTAGGATATACGACACATTTTGACATTATTCAACACAATAATTCTTGTCGAATAATCTCACGTGAAATATTTTGTGTTTTCACTATAGTGAAAATTAGCCAATCAAGTGAATGCTCACTTTTGTCATTTTCACTAGGTTTTGAGACACACAATCGACCCCCTTGGCACTTTTTACGGTTCTTTGGGTGAGTTTGCTCACGAGGTGAAAATCACAAAAGTGAGAGATTCACTAGGTTGTCTACGCTTCTATTGATCAAAATCTAGTGAATCTCTCATTTTTGTGATTTTCATCTCGTGAGCAAACTCACCCAAATAACCGTAATAGGTACCCTTGTCTCTCTACGGTGCGTCCGCGTGAGCAATGCAATGGCGTATGTACGTGTATATACATGCACCACTACATAAAACCCGAGAATTGGTTTCTCGGCGTTGGCAACACTGAAATCGGAGTTTCGCGTTGTCTCCAACATCAATTCGGAGTCTGGCCGGACGACCTGTCGACCCTTAATCTGTGATTATATTAATTTATATTATCCTATACGATTTGATTCTATAAGTCTAATAAGTAATAACTCAGTATTTAACACAAATATGTGGAGATATGTATGCTAAATAACTTTTACAAGCTAAAAATATTATTTTGTTAATTAAATGAAAGAACATATAACGCCGTTTTCTTATTTTCACACGATAAAATTATGTGACGTTTTTTCTGCATTTATTTACACGTTAAAATTACACATATTACTTAAATATTAAAGCTTTTATTTAAATTTTGTTGACTTTTAATTGTTTATCTGAAAAAGTGTTTACAATTTACAATGTGTTAATACAACTATATGTAATGTCTTTGAATCTTTCCTATGTAAATGTTGGAAAACAATTAGAAATTTTCTTATTTTTAAATAAAAAAATCTTTCTTTCGAAATAATGTAATCGACACAAAGTATATCTATGCAAATTTTAGGATTTTACAAGAGAATGGCTAGCACAACTGCGGAAAATGAGTCTACTAAAAATGGAGGTAATATTGATGTAAAGGAGCAACTTAAAGAAAGGTCTGAAAGGAATCGACAGAAAGCACTTATGTTAAAAAAGCTTAAAGTTGTAACTCATCCATATACAAGGTATGTCAAATATATATTATATATATATATATATATATACACATGTATACATGTATATATGTATACATTTAAGAAAAAAATTATCTTAGAATATAATGAAATTATTATTTCTTTTCAATGATCAACTTTTTGAAAACTTTAAAGTTACCTTTTTATTTATAAAAATATACTTAAATAATATTCTTATTGTAATTAATAATGTGGTTGTTATAGAGGAAATAATGAGTCCACAGTAGGAAGATCGCTAAAAGTTCAAGGGCAGTGTGTTATCGATAGTGGTGGAGGCTTCCTGATAGAAGAAAATGACAAATCAGAGCAACAGGTATAAAAATATATATTTATATTTGTATATGATCATTATTGTTATGATATTTACAATATTACATGTTTATTTTATTAGTTGAAGATCAGAACAGAGCCAGAACTTGTTATTGGTAAATTTAATGAATGTGAGGAATGTCAACAGAAATTTGGAGATTCATATCTTTTACAAACATTTGATCTAGTTGTTTGTGATAAGTGCAGGTACAATAATAGCATTTGAGTTAAACAGTTCTAATATTTATTTATTTTCTGCACATAATTGATTATCATATATATATATATATATATTATATATATATATATATTATATATATATATATATGAAAAATTACAATTATATATAAACTCTTACACATTGTTTTAGAGATAAAGAAGGAAAGCACTCTTTAATCACCAAGACAGAAGCTAAACTAGAGTACTTACTGAAAGATTGTGATCTCGATAAGCGGGAGCCTGCACTGAAATATATCGTGCGAAAGAATCCCCACAATGTGAATTGGGGCGAAATGAAGTTATATCTACATTTGCAGATAGAGCAAAGAGCTTTAGAAGTTTGGGGTTCGGAAGAAAATTTGCTGAAAGAGAAAGAAATTCGCGATATGAAGCGGGAGGGTGCCAAGATTAAAAAATTCAATAAAAAGGTATCTTGTTTCTTATATATATTTTTTTTTATAAATTGTATATATACGTATATATTGTATTTTACATATATTAATATATTTTATAAAATTTTAATAATACATCTGATCTCTTACTATAAGAAATTTTATACTTTATGGGAATAAAGATTAAACAGCTGCGAATGCAAGTAAGAAGTTCGTTATATGATAAAACGATGAAAGCATCACACATCCACGAATTTGGGAAAGATATATATAATGAAGAAGATGATACGTATAAGCATACTTGTACAACGTGCAGTTATGAAGAAACATATGAAAAAATGTGAATATTTGAATGAATAGTAGAGCATATAAATAATTGTACATTTAATATCAATAATTTTATAATTTAATATCAATAATTTTATAAAGATATAATACGAATATTTACAAATAATAAGAGATTAGTTATTCTCTCGCAAACTTGTTAGAGCTATGCATTTGATATCTATATTTCATTGAAAAGTACTTGATTTATACATTTGTTATTTTATTAAATAAATTCAATAAAACGATTTTATATACATAACTGTATATATCGTTACGTCCGTGTTCCGACTATTCGTTTATATGTCCCTGAATTGATCGCCGAATATAGTCTTTTTTTTTAATTCAAGTATATCGCGGATCGAACATCGTCGTCAAGAGGCTGTTTATGAATATCGTCGCGTCTTTGTTATTTAGCGTTGCGTTTGGGTTCTAGTCCAGCTGTCGTGCGGTGAGGACGTTTCTTCTGTCAGCTGACTAACTTCTATTATATATTATATTGTAAATAAATATATACTTCTTGTATTGCATTATCATTAAATATTATTTCTCTTATTTGCGAGTACGTTCTTTGCGGGCGAATAAGTGAGAGTTCGTGCGGGACTTATACGAATCGGTCTCGAGGACGTAACAATATATTTTTCTATTACTACGAACTTTTATTGGGTGCTTTTCAGCAAGCAACACAAGCGACTAAGCGACACAAAGTCACATTGTATGCGACACAAGTGCTTTTCTACTATCACACAATATAACACAATCTTACTCAGCTCTTTAGCTAACAATAAGTCGCTTTGTGCTCAATCGTGTTACACCAGTATTACACAGTGTCTATCTGTGTCTTTCTTGCTGAAAAGCACCCATTGGGTAGTGTGCCGACTTCTTTATTTCATTTCTCTACGTGCTACGCAACGTGCCACAACGTGCTTCATCAGCGTAACCGCTCTTCGTTATAAAACGTATCTTAATATATTTTTATAAAGGCTGAATTTCGATATTTACTCTGTCAGTACTGAAAATCTATAGTTTACGTCACGCATACTATTGATTTTTAGTATTGGCAGTGAATATCGAAATTTAGCCAAAATATGTCTTTTATAACACATATATAAATATATAAATTGCTTTTTTTATAACATATATATATATATATATAAATTGCTTTATTGAATTTTAAATATTTGCTGAATTTAAATATATATATATATATATATATATATATATATATATTTGAATTCAGCAAATATTTAAAATTCAATAAAGCAATTTATTCTTTCTCATCTGTTAAAAATTGTTAGTCGAAGATTAACGATAGCTATATATGGCAAATTTTATATCAATCAGTATATACAAAATTTGTTTTCTATTGTATTTTTATTGACAAAGAAATGACATTCTATTTTAGAAGTCCTTACAAGAAGTGATCATTTTTCAAAACCACAAATCCCAGAATTTAAGGATGCTATAACAGAAGGCCTTTGCAACGCTAAACAACGCGTGAGAAATAAAGAAACATAGAAATGAGAAGAAAGACAAAGGAAAAAGACAGGCTTTAACAGAAAAATTAAAAGAAAATTTAAACATATTTAAACTAATTAAAGTTCTGGACAATTTTTTGCAATTATTTTGTGCAATGCTAAAATATAACTTTTTTTAACTTTGAAAACTTATTTTTATTATTATTGTTAAATATTGTTTATTTTTATTATTATTGATAATACCAATATTAGCAATATTGTTTATTTTTATTATTAGTGTTAATAAATATAAGTTTATAATAAAAATTTTTAATAATAATAAATTAGAAATATATAATATAATCAATAGTAATACTTAATTGAATATAGTAATAATAATAAGTTTAAGCAATAATAATTTAAGTAATAGAGTTTATAATAATTAATAATAAGTTTATTTTACATGTAAATAATATTAATAATTTAATAAATACAAAATTTATTTAAATATTTAAATGCTACAAGTTATCAAATTTTCTCTCCTTATTTAATTAATTTAAATATTTTATCTAAAAAAATGTAATAAAAATAGAACAAAATATTATAGCATTACTATTGTTCAAATATTGGGAATTGTGATGTTTTTAAATGTTAAAATAGTTGTGCAAAATTTATATTCGAAATTATATTTTACAATATTTTAGCAAATACTATTTAAAAATTTTATTCCCACAAAATCATTGCGTTATGGCGAATCATCTTAATGCAATTATTGTAAAATCCATTTCTCTCCATTTCGTGATGCAAATATTGTATAATATTTGGATAATTTTCCTATATTTTCGGGGAAGAGATTTAAGAAAACAAAATGTTACATTTTATATATGTTAATATACAAGATGTTTGATAATTCGCAATTGCACGTCTTTATGTAAATTAAGTAGAAGTCTTCTATCATTTTGCAATAATTAAAGAGAAATTAATTTAATAAAGCGAATTGACTGATTTTTTAAATTTAATTTCTTATTAATTATTGCAAAAATCACAAAATGATATAGAACTTTTCTACTTATTAGTTTAACACGTTCCATATGCATACGAGAAGTGATTCGCGAATTATCAGACACTCTATATAATCTAGCTAAATGAGCTTATTTTGAAGGTATTCAAACTAAGAAAACTCTTTTAACTCTGTATAATTTAGCTAAATGAGCTTATTTTGAAGGTATTTAAACTAGGAAAAACTTTTTATACATACGTACATATATAAATTTAATATATTTATTTTACATATGCACACATACAAAAGAAAATCTAATTTGTATCAACTATTACTGAGTTTGTATTAACATAAATAAAAACTTATACTAGGGTAGAAGTATACATAATGTATTTAGATATAATTATTTAATAATTATAATTAAAGAAAGTAACAAATAGTATTCTCTCTCTGAGGAATTATTTGGTTCTGTTATTTAAACTTCATCTTCGTTTAGAAGCATATTTGGAATACCATCATTAATGGGGAATTTCCTACCGGATTCTGGACATAATAAATGCCCATTTATAACTTCAACCTCCAACAGAACATGGTGAGCTTTCTTCAGAAAATCTTCATTCGTCTCAAAGTCTTCTATTAAAACCTGAGGTAATTCACCAACATGCCCTATCTATAACAAAAAACTTGTATTAATATATTAAGAATATTATTAATATCTATTATATGTATATTTATATATATTCATGTATATAAATTCATGAAAAGATTGCATAAAAATATGTAGAAGATATATAGAAGATATATAAAAATATGGAAGATAAACACTTACACTATCTGCAGCTTTCCACAGCACGGTCCAATCCACTTTTGGAATTATTCTAGCGATATATTCTGGACTAAAATCTACTTCAGATACTCTAATGTCTTTGGCCTGTGAATAATTTTTTATGAAACATTTGTATGACAATTTCATAATAAAAATGTATAAATATATAATAATAATGTGTGTATATATGTATATATGTGTGTGTTAGTTAAAGTTATCAGCTATTAGATTGATTTTACTATTTTTATATTATATGATAATTAATATATGAACATAATTATATAATTACACTTATATCATAGTTATTCTAATATTAAAAATAGTATTTTTAAAGTTTATAAAACATGTTTTATAGTAGTAATACAGATAGATTAATTTAAAAAATATTTGGTAATTGTTTATAACTATCACAGAAAATGATTAATCCAACTATTGAATCATTTGTTGTATAAAAAAATTAGAAAAAATTGCTTTAAAAAATTAACAGCGAATAATAAACAAATCAGTTATATATTATATAGTTATTAAAATAAATATATTTATCAAGTGCAAGGATTTACTAAATGTTAGAAACATCTTAATCTTGTTTACTACATTCATACCATAAACTCAAATATCACAATATAACAATAATGTTCAACATAATAATAATTTAATTTGATTTGATCTAAATAATTCATACTTAAAACATTTTTTAATATTATGCTATCTTTTTCAGTTTTTAAATAATATTGAATTATTTTAGAATGATAATTGTTTATTCAGCAAATGAAGATTTTTATTGAGTTTTTTGCATGTAATAATTAATGTAAAAATTGAAACATCAAAAATTAAAGTTAAAAATTATTTAAAACACTAATAAATTCTTTTATTTTTTTTAGTCTTTTTTTTTAGATTACATCCAATACAATTTTTTCTTTATTATTAAACATTATCTGAACTATTCCCAGACCAACTTTTTGCAAGTGTAAATTAAAAGAAAAGCAATTTTTTTATAATACAATTAAAAAAATAACTTACGATTATTCTCAGAGGATAACCAACTGCCACGCCTTTTATAGCCTTGGACGTTAACATATTATGTGTGAGAAGTTTCATTTTTTCTACAATAATTAGTTTTTTGTTGTGTGAAATATCCAATTATTTATTTAATTATTTGTCAGAGAAATAAAATATTGATATAGGAGCTCATGCAATAGCGCGTGTATACAGAAGTTTAGAGATTGGGTTAGGTTTATATAGTATATATAAAGCTCCTTGCACAATGTCAAGCAACAGGCAATAGGAATAAAAAAAAATCCACCAATAGGAGCAGAGAATAATATCTATCTCTTTTTCCGATTGGTTGATATTTTCTATTTCTTAAGATGCAATGTTACGTGCCGCTAAAACAAGTGATTCAAGCGACAGATTTGTCGCTCGTAATCCAACATCAACAATTTTGTAGTTTGAATCAGTTCAACTACAAAGCATTTACTGCTTAAACCATCGACATATAGAATGGACTGAGCATCGCGATGGGTAAGCGCGCGCCTGCTTTAGAGTGAGAAGTACTACATCTGAGGCCTATGTTTGTCTCTCTTTTTGCAGGGCCGTCTAAAAAAATTGCGGACCATGTGCATTTTTCTATGAAATGTGTAGTCAATAGATTTTTTTAGATTTTATGCATGCATCTGTATATCCTTTTTATTTTTATCATACGTAATTTTGCACACAAAACACCTTAAAACCATTTTTTAATTTTTAAAGATAAAGATAAACGTTTCACGTTATTCCAAAGCGAGTAGGCGAAGGTGAGGTGTCAAAAATTTAATGCTATGTTACTGCTAGAATTCTGGAGGGGGACGAAATAACAAATCAGAAGCTTGCAAGAGAGACAAACATAGGCCTCAGATGTAGTACCTCTCACTCTAAAGCAGGCGCGCGTTTACATATCGCAATGCTCAGTCCATTCTATATGTCGATGGCTTAAACGCTTAACTTTCAATTCTGTCGCGCTGCCTATCCTTTTCATGTACAAAAATGACCACTGTTTAAAGCGGGGAGCACACACTTTTGCATAGGCGCATAAGCGTAAACATAAGAATCTTGATTGGTCTGTGAACATATGCATAAGAAATTCGATTGGTTGAATTCTTATGCATACGTTCATAGACCAATCAAGATTCTTATCTTTACTGTCACGTCCTAGTGACCTTCCTACTCTCTCTATTCCTAGGCTAGAAAGAATGGGGCGCTCTCTATTTTTTAAGAGGCAACCTGGGGGTCGATTGTGTAACTTTTTCTAAAGTGAAAACGTGAAAAGTGAAAAATTTCCACCAATCACGCATTGATTTTAAAATGAAATCGATGTGTGATTGGAAGAAATTTTTCACTTTTCACATTTTCACTTTAGAAAAAATTACACAATCGACCCCCTGCTTACACCAGCTATACCTCAGGATCATTATTCACAGAACTGTGCGATTTAATGTCGGAAATAGAGAAGAAATCTCCCAGGATCTAATAAAATTCTTAAAAGAACAGTGTCTGAATATCTCATTTAAAATCGATCAACATGCTAGTTATTTAAATATTTGAATCATTTCTTAAGGGTCGACAGGCGACATGGTGGAGACGCCTATCGGCCGGCCGGGAATTACGGATTCGTTCATCCCATATATTAGCCAAAATACTTAATGAATCTTATTAAATTTACGATATTCTTAATCAGTAGGATTGTCCGCAGGGAGACAAAGATCGATTTTTTGGAAAAAAGATAAATATAAAATTCATAATATAACTTGGGAAGATGCGCAGCTAGCAGCGGGTAAGGTTGGGTTAGCCACGAGATCGTATTTAATTTATTATAAATTTTTAAGAGCAATAATGCAAAATTTGACTCTTTGTCTCCCTGCTTTATTATATAAAGAATATATTAAAAAATATTTCACGAAGCTACGTAACTTCTTTTTATGTAATATTTGGGATGAACAAATCTCACTAGATCTATACTCATGGGGAAATTTTCGTGGTAACATACTGACAGCTTGACAAGGAGAGAGTATCATTCTATCTTTGTCTCTCTTGCATTTGATATGTGTAAAATCAGTATAAATACAAAAACCAATATATTACGCACACGAATGAGAAATATTTTACATCTGCTCATTATATATAAAATATAAAAGTAATGCAAATTAAATTTCACATTTATTTATAATAGTATTGTGAGGTAGTAACACATATGGAAATCTTATAAGATAAATGCTGTACATCGATTAGCGTAATATTATGATTACAAGTCGCAATAAATGATTTTGCTAATATATTATTTTGAATAAAAATTTTATAAAAACAAATAAAAATAAAATGAATAAATTTTATTCATTCTTTGTTTTTTTCTATTATTTTTTCTATTATTTGAATAAAAGGCGTATCGTATGTAATAGATAAATAATAATTTATATATATGTATATATTGAAATTAATATATATATATATATATATATATATATATATATAATTTCAAAACGTATAATTATATATTTATATAAATTATCTATCTATTTAATCTATTACACACGATACATCTTTTATTCAAATAATAGAAAAAATAATTAATAGAAGAAGAAAACAAAGAATGAAGAAAATTTATTAATTTCATTCTTTTTGTTTTTATATTTTTTTAATTTTTATTCAAAATAATATATTAGCAAAATCATTTATTGACTTGTAATCATATTATGCTAATCGATGTACAGAATTCATCTTATATGATTTTCATGTATTAACTACCTCATAATACTAGTATAAATTAATGTAAAATTTAATTTCCATTACTTTTATATTTTTATATGGGATGAGCAAATGTAAAATATTTCTTATCCGTGTGCGTAATTTATATTAAAATATAATTATTATATAAATAATTAAATAAAAATATATATAATAAATAATTTATTATATTTATAAAAAAATTTATGTAATAAATTGTCTGTATAATATTTTACTTATTTATAAAATGTATTTTATAAATAAATAAAAAAATAAATGAATTAGATAAATATGATAAATTAGTGAATGTGGTAGGAAATGTCATATTTATTTTTTAGTCAATATATAAATTAAATGTTTATTAAATTTAATATTAATTTAAATTATATATTGATTAAAAAATAAATGAATTAGATAAATATGATAAATTAGTGAATAAGGTAGGGAAATAATTTTTTTCTATAAATTAATTATAAAATTTGAATATAAATAAATTTTTATAAAAAAATTTTAAAAATTTAAATAATTTTTAATGATTTATTAATATTTAAAATAATTATTTTAATAAAAATTATAATAGATAATTTTATTTATATTATTAATAAATTTAGGTGCCAGCAATTGCGGTTAAACTGATGATAAGAATAAATAATTTTAATAATTTAAAGAATATAAAAAGGAGATTTAAATATTTTTTTTTAATTTTATTTATAGTGAAATGTAATAATTTTAGTTAATAAAAAAAATTTATTTTGGAAAATTTATTTCTAATTAAGTTTAAAAAGAAATTAGGATTAGATACCCTATTATTTAAATAAAAATAAAATTAATTAAATATTAAATGTAAAGCATTAAAAATAAAAAATTTGGCGGTAATTTATTATATTAGAAAAACTTGTTGATTAATTTGATAATCCACAAATGGATTAACTTAATATAAATATTTTATATATTGTTGAAAATTAAATTAAGAGATTTTAATTATAAATTTATATTATAAATTAAATTCAAATCAAAATGTAGAATTATTAAGATTTAGATGAGTTATATTGAAAAATATTTTTTTTGTAAATTATATTTAAATTTATTATTTAAAAAGGATTTAAATGTAAATTTATAAAAATTTATAAGTTGAATTATATTTAAATTATGTACAAATTGCCCGCCGTTCTTATTAATTATGATTTGTAAGAAAAGTCGTAACAAAGTAAATATATTGGAAAATGTATTTAAAATAAAAAAAAATTTTAGTTTATTTAAAAATATTTTATTTACATTGAAAAGATTAATGATTTAATATGATTTATTAAAATTAAAAAAAAATTAAATTTAAATATTTATGAAAAATTTAATATGATTTGTGTGTGTGATTATTTTAATTAAATAAAATTATAATAAAAAATTAAATAGAGTTAGTTTTTGAATTGTTGAAGTATTAAAAAAAATTAAATAAATATTATAGATATAAGTAATGTAAATGAAAATTTAAAATAAATTAATTAATTAAATAAAAGTAAATTTTATTAATTGTACCTTTTGTATCAGGGATTATTAAATTTTGTTGTTTATTGGAATAATTTAAATTTCTCGGAATAAAATGAGTTAAATAAAATATTAAAGTTAATGTATAAAAATTATTTTAAATATTTATTTGAAAAAGATATTTTAATCCACTTTTATGATATCTAGTTTTTTTTATATAAATTTAATTTATATATAAATCATTTACAATTAATTAAATTAATAATAAAATTTAATTAGTAAATTTATGTAAAAAATTTATGGGATTAACTATAAATTATAATTAAAATATTTTATGAATATAAATGATTTAAATAGAAAAATATTTTTTATTTTTAAAAATTTTTTATAAAAATTTAATAATTTATTATGGAATGGATTATTCTAATTTAAATATAATAATAATTTGAAAATTTGATTTAATTAAATAAAAAAATATTTTAAATAAATTAAGTATTTTAATAAATAATGATAGTATAAGTATATTTATATTAATTATATAGAAATTTTTAAATTTAAAATATATATGTATATATAATTAAAGAATTAGGCAAATTTATTTTATTAAATTAAAATTTTAATTTACTTGTTTAACAAAAACATGGTTTTTTGATAATTTAAAATTATTTCTGCTCAGTGATTTTTAAATAGCCGCAGTATATTGACTGTGCAAAGGTAGCATAATCAATTGTTTTTTAAATGAAAACTGGAATGAAGGAATTGATGAAATTAAAGCTGTTTCAATTTGTAGATTTAAAATTTAAATTTTAAGTTAAAATTCTTAAAAGAAATTATGGGATGAGAAAACCCTATTGAATTTAATATAATTTTTAAATTTATTTAAGGAAATAAATTTTATTTTAATGATTATATTTTATTGGGAGGATAATTAAATAAAATAAACTTTAATTTAAAGATAATTTTAACATTAATTAATGAAATTTTTATAAAGGATTGATTATTAAA